ATTTTCTTAATTCCTAATGCAATAAAAGGTAAAGATTCAAATTTTAAAAATTATCTCAGAATTTAAACAAGGTGTAAGGTCTAAGAATTATATGCCTAAAAGAGTCAGCCCTATAAATAAATTATAAACAATTATAGTCAAAACATCATGGGTCTTCCACACACACCCAAACCATTGTGCCACCTGCAAAATTGCTGCAACCATTATGATACACCCAAGGAGATATTTATAACTTTTTAACAACCAGTATGGCCAGAGCACTGGTGTTCATAACAGACACCAGTTTAAATGAACCATAATGACTGGGCAACTGATGTATAGCCCTGACCACACCCACAATTAACTTTGTAAATTATTCTCTACATAATCAAAGTGGTTAATAAATTACTACTTGTTCTTATCTGACTTAGCATTTGGTTTGTTCCCACAAATACTCAGAATCTGGATTATACCTAGTTTACAGGTCCCTAAGAGAGCTAGACCATTGTGAACCAACCCTTTACCATGCGTACGGCAGCTTCCTACATGGCAGTAACGCAAGAACTGAGGCAAAGAGTGTTAGGTCTTTTGTTTCAAACCTCCCTTAGTTTTCCCTCCAGTGCCTCAGAGGTTTTCCAGAACAGTAATAGCTACTCAAGAGAGATTAGGGCTAAAAGTACTGTCTGATAGTTTATCCCAGATGGTGGTAACTCAGGTTTTAATCCTGGTTTGAGGAAATTGCTAGTGTTCCGTGTTCCCTGTTCCTCATCTCATTCCAAATTTCCTTTTATTCCTTAAATCTGTTACTCATTTTTAAATGTATGTTTCTTTCTTTAAGATTTTCTTATTCTTTTTTCTACAATTAGGACCCTAAAATAGTTTTCTTTTAATCAAATTTCCAATACGTTCAGGGCCTTTGCCACCAGAAATGTATGATAAACACCAAGTTATTTATGATAAATAACATCATATTACATATTATTAAGAATCTGCATCAATGGGCCATTAGCATCTACTCTTAACTAATAATATCCCACATTTCAAGTTTATTATTCCTTACACCACCTAAAAGAACATTTGAAAATCAATATTGTGAAAGAGGTAAAAATTAGCACTGATCACACAGTGTTATAGTTGTTCTCAAATATTGTCTGGGAGGAGAGATCCTGAAAGGAATCCTAATAATTTGAACTGAGTCTGCAACATACTCAGCATTATATGTACTTTCCCATATTACTAGAAAGCACATTACCATGCTTAAATATCAAACTCTTTCCTAAGCCAAATCATACACTTTGGCCCTTCCATTATTTTCAAGAATTACAAGCTGACTCTCTATATAAAATACTGAAAAGCAAAAAGCAGTCCCCAAATGGGAAAGTGATACTTATGACTGCCAAAAGGACCAAAATGTCTTATCATTATTTATTGCTTTAGTGGTTTGCATACAAACCTGAAGAGAGAATTTCCCTGAGTGTCAGACAGTTAGGTAGAAAATGATAAACAGTAAATAAATGATAGTCACCAGAGGTAGTACAGTAAATATGCATCTTGGAATTGTCTTTCTAGGTTTCTTCCCTCCCCTACAATATATAAAAGAGCAAAGTCACAATTGCTAAAATTATGTCTTAAATTTATCTTTCCAATTGCTCCATGTATCAAATAATGGTCTGGATTCTTTCTATTCACCTTGGACACTGCCACACATATACACAAACATCCATGTGGGGGAACTGCTACACACCCACCTCCTTTCTGAGCTTGTGTTAAATGAAAAAAAGGGAGACGTTTTTCTTGATTTTCTCCATAAATGGTAAAATGTTGGAAGAAAGATGCAAAAATGGAAATGAAAGCTGAGCCCACAGGACCCCACATGGTTTGGAGCTTACCTGTTTCTTCAGCCTCATCTATTAACACGAGGCACTGAATTTGAATGGTGGGAATACCACGGTGAGCAAAAACAAACACGAAGCTTAAGCTCAACATGCAGAGCTGTGCATTAACTACATACTAACACAAATAAAAGTTAAAATTGTGACGTGGTAAGTGTCTGTAGGAAAAGAGATAAAGTGCTGTGAGAATATATTATAAGACAATTCAGTGGTCCCCTTTCCTATCTGTGTTATGGGTACACTGGCCTCTTTTCAGTTCCTCAAAAATATAATTCCCCCTGTTGCCATGGGGCCTGTCTTCTCATGTGGAATGTCCTTTCCTTTCTTACTTGCCCCATTGACCCCTACTTTTCCTTCAGATCTCGGCAAAATCATAACTTCCAGGAAAATAAGAGAGAGAGAGGAAATGGTCCTTGCCTAGAAAAATTGTCCTATTATACATTCTCATGACATATATGAAAAGAGTAAAAGCATCAGTCATAAATTCTCTCTTCCTGTAGGTTCTTTACTTTCCTTATCCAGTTTAAGTGCACAAAGAAAAAAGGTCATGATTTAGCATCGTATATAATGGCTTCTCCAAGATATTTGCAACTATTATTCCATTTGTCACACCATTTCCCCCAATTTTGCCATTCTCTGAGAATTATCACTGACAATGAGAATTGAATATAATGGCTGTGTATACACTGGGATGCCGTGCCCTAGCCACTAGTAACAGAACCAAGTACATACAGACTTTTGCTCAATGGAAGTCTATCATTGCTGGTACCCAGGAAGATTTCTCCTAAGAATTTGAACCTACTATGTCCAAACACTTCCTGAACCACATACTAGTTGTGGGTTTTGGGACAATTTATTGACTGTCAAGGTTTCAATTTCCCTACCTGTAGATTGGGGAAAATGGAAATTATAGAGACAATAAAAATCCAGTCAAATGTCTAGCACTTATGAAGTTATTAATGATTAAAGCCTTGGAACAAGCAAAGGGCAGCTATTAGGATTAACTATACTTTTCTCTGGGCCTTTTAGTCCTCACCATGTATTAGATTTATAGAGAGGTGGTAAGGAATATAATAGAACATGTAACATAACATAATATAACATAATTTAAGGTTATAATCTCAGGACAAGGAGTGAATGTCCTTAGTCTTCAACTTAGAAGATGGATGTTTCTACAATATGCGAAGTCAGTGCTTACAAATCACCATTTTACAGGTAAAAGTGTTACTTGGAACTCAGCTGTACTTAAAATTTATTAAGTATATTAGCAATTCCAAATACACTGAAATTCTTCCAGCTTTAGTTTACTGCTAGCTGGTTGAAAAGAATTCTATAATAGTTTATAGGTTAGTAAATTCCATAAATCAATTTTCAGCAGAGAAAAGTTAATAATGAAACATCTCTGGTAATGGAACAAGATGAAATTGGCTCAAACAGAAGCCAGAGATTCCTCTTCTGTTCTGACAAGAAAGAGAAACAGAGTGAAAGAGAAGAGAAGGTTTTGGGAATTATGCTAGTTTGTCAAATTGCAGGGATCCATTTAATGACAAACTGCATGAACAAGTAATCTCATCTTATAACTTCCTCTTCTCAATACCTCACTTTTTAATTCAATGCAGATTGACTTTACTCTCATACTCAAAGTTAGCCAATGACCTCTTGCTTTGTCAGAGAAATGGCTTCTGATCAGTCCTCACACTGGTCGACCTTGGAAGCATTTCCCAGTGCTGATAAGGCCTGCTTTTTGGAGCATAGGGTGATTTTCCTTTACAATTTTCTAAAACTCCTCTGCCTTCTTCACTGGATCTTTCGCCACCAATTGCCTTAAAGCTTCATCCTCATCATCTGTCTCCAATGCTGTGCCATTTTGTTCTACTTCTACTTGCTAACGCATGTGCCTTATCAAGCCTACAGATGGAAACAACAGAAGTCACCCAAGATTAGGTACCATGTTTTATGTGCACCTACACATTTCTAGTCTCTTCTGCTTTACTCATATTTTCCTATTGCTGTAATTGTTTAGATTTAATTAAAGTTTCCACCTTTCCCACTGGATGACACAGGAGAAGTTGATCTTACCCTCTACTGAATTTCCATAGTAATCGTTACTTTACAGCCATTTTTTAAACGCTATTGTGCCATTATTTGCTTATAAAGCATAGAATTACAGTGATTTGAAGCCATAATGCCCATTTTTCAGATGAAGGAAAAAAAAAAGATAAATCCAGAGAGATAAAGATACTTGCCACAGCTCATAAGTAGCAGAGGTCAGACCAAAATCTAGGCATTGTCTCTTCTACTACCCTGTAAGCCCCTAGAGGACAAAGAATACATGTTACTCATCTTTAAGGCACTGACACAGGGTTTTAAAAATAGTGTTTCAAAAGATGTTTGCTGATCAAATGATGTAATGAATGATAGACACATCAGTGACTACAGGGCATCCTAAGATTAAAGGAAAAATTTGTTCAAAAGTAGAATCTACTTCATGCTTACATGTCAAGGAAAAGAACTGGTAAAAAGGTTAAAGTTGAGAAAAATGAAAAATATGAATGTGAAAGATCCCTGAGGAGATAAGAGGGAAAGGATATAGATAGAGTTCAAAGGGGGAAAAATGTCTTTGAAAACAGAGGACAAAATTTCTGTCCTGACATTGAAGGGAAGAATATTCAATCCAGCCTCAGAGCAATCTAGGATGTCTGATGCCCTTCTCTAAAAGTATGTACGAGCCTCAGTGTGTCCCACCCACCCACAACACAAACAGTGTGGCACTGGACCATTCCTGGACTTACAGCTTCAGGGGACAGGGGTATGGCCACAGTCCCAGAATTCATCCACTAACAGAGAGGACACAGATGAAAGCACAGAGGTTCCACATCTGCAAACCCAGAAAAGAAAACTGAAAAAGAGAAGTTGTTCCATAAAACAAATACTTCTGAATAATGGGGGGAAGTTTAAGAGTAGGTGGTAAGTGCAAGGCTGGCATATTCTGACCCAGTTTAGAAAGGAACAAAGAAGAAAAAAAAACATTGAATCATTTCTTTAAAATAAAACTCAAAACGTAATAAAAGATGTACATTTCATATTGCATGCAATAAGTCATGGCTTGAGATTTTTTTTCCCCTCAATGAATTGTTAGTTACCTGCTGTAGAAGTAAAGCATCCCCCACCTGAAGACGCAAAATACCCTCGGAAGAAGGCTTCTGGAAACTGGGAGGCTTCTGGAAACTCAGCATCAAAAGAGTTTGAAACCTTTCAACATTCTCCTCCTTCCCTCTTACCAGCAATGCCACTCCAGTTACGGAAATAAAGCCGAGTGTGGCCATTTTCAGCACTGTGATCCCTGTCTGAAGCCAAGTCACCTCTCTCACACCACAACAATTCAGAATACCCACAATCCACAATATGGCCAGTGCCAGACATTTCTTTGGCAGCTTTGGTGCAAAGCAGCCGGGATAAAAAGGCTAGATGCTGTACTCAGTAAGGAGGAGGGCGTGGCTGGCAGCTATTTCTGGCCCCAGGAACAAGGCTCTCCAGATATTCCGGAAGGATATCAAGTTGCCAAAATATCTCCTGAGAAAATAGTAGTGAGGTCCACTGCATGGGAAGGTTATACCTATCTCTGCAGGACAGAGTGCTCATCACAGACAGGAGGGCACAGGCAGCCCAGATACACAGAGAGAGTCCCACATTCATGCAAAAGTACTTCAACACCCCTGTGGAGGCCACAAAATTTCCTGCACCTATTATATTAACAATTAAAAAACTTGTGCTCCCGTAATATTCAAACTGTTTCTTCAGCTGTATCTTCTTCCCTTTATTCATTGTAACTGAAGAATCTTAAAATTCTATACAAATCACAACTTCTGAACTTTTTGTTGCCTTTATTGCTGAAAAGGATGTTCACAGATTTTCTGAAATAAAATAACCCTGTCCTTTTTCTTCCACCTTTGTTAAATATAGACTATTTTCAATCATTAACAAAATGTATGTGATGTATCCAAGTAAAATAGTATAAAATTACTTGGCAGGGTTTAGTTTGACTTGGTTTTTTAATTAGTACCAAACTAATGCATTCACGTGGATAAAGGAATTTCAAAAGACAGGGTATTACAGAAAAAAGCAGGAGTTTTTTGCTGTACCTCATTCCTTCTCAAACACATTTCCAGTTCTTTTCTCTGCAAACAACTGTTTAAATGAACGTTCAGTTTTAGATCTTTGTGATAGCTGCTTTATATAATAAAAGACTTTCATTCTGAAATACGTCAACTTTAGAAAGCATCTATTTTCCTCCTCCCATGAACACTAAGGAATTAGCTCATTATTCTCTAACTCTAATTCGTCTTCCTCCAATTTTTTTGTCATCAAACTCTCAAGAAACAAAGTACTTACTTTTCTTCAGGCTCATAGAAGCCAATGAACAAGGTGAGGGAAAGAAATACCCTGAAACATAAGCCTGTCCCTTTACCAGCTGTCATTCTGCTAGTCCAGGTCAAATGCAGAAACACGTGGGCAGGAAGCACAGAAGACCTGACCCATGGGCAGAGGGAGGGAGCATCCGGAATATCTGAGCAAGTCCGGAGCTCGGCAGCTCTTAACATGTGTTGGCTTTACCATGCAGAGCATTGCTCTGAGTATCTCCAAAGCCTCACAAGCTTGGAGCACATCACCAGTCTTGGCAGTGAATTATTTCCTAATTATCCTCTAAGAGTAAATGAAAATGAAAGTATTTGTTTTTGATTTGGTTATGGGTAAACCAGCAATTTTCTGGCAGATTTTATCCAAGAAAATCCACTGCTAATACTATATAGCTCACAATCAACATGACCAGGTCCACATCTTATGGACTAGGTCCATGCCTCCCTCCCATCTCAGAGAGCAAGGGCCTGGGAGTGAGGGAAGGAGGCTAGTAAGTTCACCTTATGATAGAAACAAAGTATGGAAATAAGCCAGACACAGAAACACAGTTATCACATGATTCCCTTTAGATGAGGGATCTAAAATAGTCAAATTCATAAAATTAAAGACTGGAATGGTGGTTACCAGAAGGGAGTGGTAGGAGAGGAAACAGGGAGTTATAAATTAACAGTCACAATATTTCAGCTAAATCAGATGAACATGTTCTAGAGATCTGCTCTGCAATATTGGACCCATAGACAGGATAATGTACACCAAAAATCTGTTAATAGTAGATCTCATAGTAAGTCTTCTTATTGCAATGAAATGTTTAAAAGGAGAGTAAAATATAATTTAACTTATGAAAAGAGAAGATCAGAACCTGTCTACTTTGATATCTAATCAAGTTCCTCTTCATAATTTTCCATCCACTGACCCCTTCACTTTGCCCACTAGCTGCAAATCCCCATCTGTCTTTGGAGTTGAGCTCAGTTTTAGGCTTAAGTCTCTTACCCCTACTGCAGTAACTTGAATAAAATCTGTCTTGCCATTTTTAAAAATGTTCCGTGTAATTGTTCTTCTGTAACACACATTGTCTTGTATATTATGGCCCATCTCATTGCTGGATAGCCTCACTGACAAGAGGCTGTGACTGAGCCTGTAACTATTCCACCTTCACAATGATCCTCCTTTAGCTTCTCCAACCTCTGGGTCAGGTATAAGAGCAGCTCTGTGCGGAGGGTGTACCAGCTTCTGCAAGTTATCAACACCGTCAAGTTCAGTGGTGATGAAAACTGACACAGATTTCAGTTCATGCTCCTGGGCTTCAACTTACGCCTGTGGATTCAAACTTGTTCTTGTTCTACCCACTTTTACATTCCTCATCTGTTCTGGATTACCTGAACTTCAACCTCTCAGCAGCAGACTTGAGGACAACAGCTTTAATAGAGACTATTTAATCAGCTCCCACAATTGTGTAAAGTCAAATATCTATAACAAATCCTTTTAATTTATATAGATGTGTGGTTAAAGATAGAAATAAAAATTCAGATACTGATGTAAGCATCCAATATGGAATTGCTTATGTCAGGCTTGCCTGCTTTCACGCCAACTACCTCTGTAAACATAAGAGATATAGAGACTGAAAATAAAGAATGTCAAATAAGAGACTTGGGCAAGGGTATCAATCCCCATTTCAGGCTCTCTCAGGACTATCAGAGATACTCCAAACTCAGGGGAATACTTTTCACAATACTGCCCCTAGACTGAGGGGGATATTCTTGTAGATTCTTGTGGGGCTACTGCATCAAAGGGGAAAATGTGAAAGTCATCCAATGTTAGGCTCACCAGAATAGCTCCTGCAGCACATGAATGTATATCTTGCACACAGTGCATAGGTCAGCTCAGCCTTTGGACAGAAACTCTAGAAAGCTAATGAGAAGCTGCTATGCCCATACCTTCTTACATGATTTAAGTAATGTGAGACTGGGAACAGCAGAGAGAAGACATTTTGAAGGACATCAAGAGTTGTTACAGTGAGATGCCACCCTGAAGGGTTTACAATATTATTTCTTTTTATCTTTATTTTTTTTCTATGATTGCTCTACTAAGAGAAATCTGTCATGATGGCAGACCTAAAGGTGTCAGTCTTGTTAGCATATCATTAACTCAATTGTATAGATATGCAAATAGAGCCTTATAGAAGTTAAGAAACTCATCCAATCTATTTACCTCCAGTCTTGTTATTCCAAAGTCCATGATCTTTTCATAGCCCTGATTTTAAAAAAAGTATGGTAACTACAATGACAGATTGAGGATTCCTGTGTGTGTGCTCTTCTATAAAAGCACAAAATACTGGAAATTTTGTCGTATTCATCTTTTTCTGTGCCTTACCAACTAACCCAAGACTTGCAACAGTCTGAGAACTTTCTCCAGAAAAACTTCTGAATTCCTCTTAGGATAGTTGAGTTTATGGGCTTTTTCACTTGGCCTGCTCCCATCCTCCTCTCCCCAGCTCCACAGAAACCTTGAAAACCAGCAGTGCTGCAACCTCTGAGAAGGGCAAAGCAGGAGCTCCTCAAAGGGCACCATGTCCAGAGCATTCTTCTCATTTGACTTCTCATTCCTCTCACATCCCAGCTCCTTGAAAAAGCCTCATTTGCAGGGCTTTGACGTGACTCAGATCCTGTGACTCAGAGCGGGATCTACAGGGAAATCCCTGTCTGCAGGCATTTGTCTGAAACAATCACTGACATTGTTTAACCCAGCAACGGCCTAAGGCAGCATTGCCAGCTGAGGAGGAAAAATCCCAGCCTGAAATGTAAAAGGAAGATTTGGAGGAAGAGATATCCAGAACGACCTTTGAAAAGCATTCACATATTCCTGATTATGTAGAAGGCCATGTGCACACAGGGCTGTACAAATGCCAGGAAAGACCTGACGGGCCCCAATCTCTCACTTCTGACCGTGAGACACTGTACAAATAAGAAATAAAGCCTAAAGCAGACTGGCAAATGGCCTGAGCATGGTTAGAGTGCCTCAACTCACAGAGCTCCTTAGTAAAGAGTGAAAAACATTGGTTCTAAGGAGTTATGGAAATCTCTGCTTTGTCATATTAGCTGACTACTAAGTCCACCTAGTAAAGAATTTCAGTGGCTGCACACTGAGAGGGAAAGAGAGGATAGATTAAAGAAAAAAGAGGGGATATATGAAAGAAGAGAGGGGATGCGAACTCAACAGTCCAATCAGGTTTATTGCTGAAACTGAGAGGGACCCCTCTGTTCTGGCCAGCAGAACAAAGGAAGGAGGGTCTCTAACAGGTCAAGAGGCTTTTTATGGCCAGGGTTTTTGGCGGGCTCTTTAAGGGGAGGTGTCAGGGGAAAGGTGGGCTTCTTGTGGCTTGCTGACATGTCCTCTGGAGAATGCTTGTAGCCTAGGTAAGATGACACCTAGGTCTCTCTGTTGGTGGGTGGGGCTTATTTGAAAGGTGGTACTCAGGTCTGGATTCTATCACACATTATAGGGAATATAGACTGTATTAGGTACCTAGGGCTGTCATAATAAAGTACCAAAAACTGGAGGTATTAAAAACAACAGAAATGTATTATTTTATTGTTCTGGAGGCTAAAAGCCCCAAATCAAAATCTAGGCTGGTCCATGTTCTCTATTGACAGCTCTGGGTGAGAACCCTTCCTGCTCTCTTCTAGCTTGTGGTCATCTCTGGCATTCTTTAACAGTTCTTGGTTTGTAGTTGTAAGACTTCAGTGCAGTCCTTTGTTGAGCCAGGGCTCACCATCCACACCCTAAGACTCTCTTAACAAATGCTAATTTAACAAAGTCACAACATGACATCCTGGGAAAGGCACAATTACTGAGGCAGTAAAAAAATAGTGTCTTCTAGGTGTTTGGTATAAGGGAAGGAGGAATGAACAGATGTAGCCCAGATTTTGGAACAGTAAAACTACTTGTATGATGCTATAATGACGGATACATTTGTAAAATCCCATAGGATGTGCAACAAAGAGTAAATCCTAGTATAAACCTTAGTTAATAATAATGTACCAGTATTGGTTCATCAAGTGTAGCAAGTATATCACACTAATACAAGATGTTAATTATAAGGGGAAACTGTGTAAGGGGTGTTGCTCTGGAAGGAGGGGCTTCCCTGCTCTGGGCAATTTCACTATGAATTCGATCAGACCTAATAAAGGCAAGGAGTGTTAAAGGAATTTATACCATGTTTATTCTCATGGCGGTCACCCACCTATGTACAAGGGGCAAAGACAACCTAGTCTCTCCTTGCTCCAGCACTGCTCCCTCCCGCTCTCCAGCACAGGCTTCCCTCCACCAGTCTCTGTTCTCCTCTGGCTCTCCCTCTGGTCTTCCCTTCTCTGCTATCTCCTATTCTCTTCTGTTCTCCCAGCCTCCCC